TGTGCATGTTGTCCTTAAGTGTTGATCCTCGCATGAGAGTACAGAATGTGCATGTTTTTTGGTTTCATGGCCAACAGGTGCATCGAGTGTTATATTTCATAGACTATCAGTGAGATTTTGCAGGGAGAACAGCTGCGTGAAATCCTCTAAGCTGGTGGCTGATTGTCATCTACAGACTAAAAGCACAACTTTTGCTTTTTAGTATTTAACTTCTAATCACACACACACACACACACACACACACACACACACACACACACACACACACACACACACACACACACACACACACACACACACTTTTTAAAGGGGTTTGTTAAGGTACTGTACAGATAGACAGACAGGAAGACAGACAGACACGGAGAGGAGTGCTGTATGCTCAGATAAAACTGGGAAGGAAGTCTGAGTAGTGTTGCCATGACAACCACACCCTTTACACCCTGCCCCCCTACACGCATGTACACACATTGACTAGTCAACAGCAGAGATATGAGAAATGTTTGTGTGATTATTGTAGCAGTTTTGCTCTAATTGAGGTTAAATTACCATAGAAGAAGAAGTAAAAAAGCCCCTTCTGTACTGTATTGTTGATGTTTGTGTATTTGTGTGTATGCGTATTTTTGTGTTGATTTCTTCCTGCTATTGTGTGCCTTCACATTCCTGTGTGTGTGTGTGTGTGTGTGTGTGTGTGTGTGTGTGTGTGTGTGTGTGTGTGTGAGAGAGAGAGTGAGTCAGTGTTTTCTGATGGTTGTCCACTTTTAGAAGCGTAACTCGTGTGGTTCTTGTCTCGGTTAACATATGTTGATGAAGCTGTTTGTGTGGTCAGTTTTTGCAAGTGTGTGTGTGTGTGTGTGTGTGTGTGTGTGTGTGTGTGTGTGTGTGTGTGTGTGACGGGGTCAGACCCAAGCTAAATTTAGTGTTGTATAAAACAGCTGTGGGATAAAGCATCGATTACTTCTGCTTGAATAGTTTTTCGACTTTGTTTTTGCCTGTGTTCCTGTTAATCTAACACAGAGAGCAGCCTATTGGTTTTTCTAGTGCGCTAAATTGTTGCTGAACAATTAAAACTAAATCAGTTAACTGGAAAAAAAACATTTGGGTTTAAACATCCGTTTACAAAGTCAATTATTACCATTGAACGCCTGAACATACATTTATAATACTATAAGACAGGATATTACAGCTTTATCACAGCAGAAATTACTTCATCTTCCACCCCCACAAAAGAAAAATTATACAATTCACATTACAAAACACTCTACCAGGAACTTGTGCTTACATGAGTTTCATTGGCTAACGCTGTGTGTTGCTGCATGCATTTGCAAAACTTGCTTTTGTTGGTCTGCACACAGCCTTACAATATGTTTACACAAGCCGGGTTCCCATCCAAATATATCACAGATTTTCACCAGCATTGTTTTACATCTACACACTTTGCTTTTTAGGAATAAATGTGTGTGAGTGTTGCTGCTTGTCACTTTACAAATGACAACCATAGTCATGAGATGCTGAAGCCCCTCCCTCTCCTGTCTCTTTAAGTCTGTGAGAGTTTTTGTTATTTATTTTGCATGTGGTGCTCCACCTCTATCCATCACACTCCATTACCTGAGGCACAGAGACCTGCAGAGCTTATACTCAGTCTCATGTCTCTCTGCACACGCACACTCTGGACATGCTGTGTCACCAGCGGCAACTTAGAAGCCTCTTTCACTGACCCACATAAAGAGAGAATGAGAGAAGATGGAGAAATTGTCTTGAGAAAAAAAAAAGAGGAAGATTGAAAGGATAAAGAAGTGGAGCAAGAAGAAGAAGAAGAATAGAGCGATCTTTGTGAGATTGCGCTGAAGGACAGACGGCTCCCTGTCAGTAACCCAAGTGTCCTTAACTGTCATCTGTAATGTTTGAGCTCCATGCTAATGATGCTCGAACATCTGTGTACACATTAAGACTAAGGCTGCCATCTGTAACTTCAAACTGCAGCTCACACATCAGCTTGTGTCGGGGTTTTTGGAAGTTGTTACAACTCGCTGGTGAAAAATCAACTCTCTTCTGATGTTACTGGCATTGTCACCATGGAGACAGTGGTGCAGAAAGACTTCAGATCCTTCACTTAAGTAAAAGTACCAATACATTAATGTCAAAAACACTGCATTACATTGAAACTTCACTTCAGTAAGAGGACAGAAGCATTATCAGCAACATGTACTTAAAGTATCAAAAGTAAAATCACGTATTCTGAGGAAACATGCCTCCCTAATGGATATCAATATATATTTGGCATGTTTATATTGTTAATATTATTGCCTCAATTACAGTTTTACTCTACGAAGGTATCACACTTTCCCTTAAATGTGTATCCATTTGATCAACAGCTCTATATTATTCTATTTTTATACCCAAGAAGACATTTAAATCCTTTCAAATGTCGTTTTTTCTCATCACTGTCAAAAATAAAATTCTCCAGCTTAAAAAGGCAAAACATGTGTTCTTCTCGGCCTTTAAATCCCCATATCAGTCTCTGTGCTGCTCACACATTCAGCTAAATGCCTATCTTAATGTGTGTGTGTGTGTGTGTGTGTGTGTGTGTGTGTGTGTGTGTGTGTGTGTGTGTAGTAGTAGTAGTAGTAGTAGTAGTAGTAGTAGTGTGTGTGTTAGTAGTAGTAGTGTGTGTGTGTGTGTGTGTGTGTGTGTGTGTGTGTGTGTGTGTGTGTGTGTGTGTGTGTGTGTGTGTGTGTGTGTGTGTGTGTGTGTGTGTGTGTGTGTGTGTGTAAAATCATAAGCTCATACTTGTGTTTCTCAGGTTGCCTTTGCCAGGTTATCTTTTACGTAATGTCCCAAAAATAGAACAGCTTCACCTGTAGAGATGAAGGGGGAAAGGAGACATACGGTACGTCCACACGGCAGCGTGCGTTGAAGCTTGCCGGTGGGCGTGTCTGGCGTGCGACCAACAACCAATCACATTAATCTCCCGCCCTGGACATACAAGCACGCGGTGTGATTGGCTAGAGCTTGTACTGGTTAGACCCTCCAGAAAAACGCGATTCTGCGATCGCAGAATTTACCGCATAATCAGCAAAATGGCGCAGATTTATAAAATATTTATCAAAATAATCCCCGCATTTTTCCACACAAAGTTGAGAAAAAAAAAAGTTAACTGGTCTTGACGTGAAGTAGTGATGATGATGACGTGAAGTCATCAGCTCGCGCATCACAGAAGGTAAACAACACCGTAGAGTGAATGTGTGGAACTCACACAACGAATATTTCTGCTAAAGACTGGGCAAAGCAGTACCCCGATGTGGGGGGAGACTATTCTGCACCCCGTGCAACTGTGTGTTGGAGCATACGTCTTAGAGAAAATCGACGGTGACGACCCACTTTGATTCATTCAAATATTTGAAAATGCTTTCTGCTGCTGCGGACAAGAAAGCCAAACAACTCACGTTCACCGAGGCATCAACCTCCAAAACCCTTTNCGGACATACTCCCGAAGGCTTCTTAAGCCATGTTAATTAACTCGTCGGGATTAATTAATGGGGGAAGGTAGGAAAAGACCCGGATCCACCATGTAAAACTTGTAGTGTACTTCTCCGTCACGCTTACTAGTTATTGTCGTGGTGAGTGTATTTTTCGGACAGATATATTATAGTAAGGCTCACTCATAACCGCTACCACTCTTACCCCCCTGAAAAGAAACACCGGGTATTTTCGTCTGTTTTTGTGGAACTTTGTCTTTCCGGCACATAACCTTACGAGGGGTGATTATCTTTTTTCGGATAACGAGGTAAACCGGGGTGACTAGGAGGTTTGCAACAGAGACCCAAAATAAAATCTCAATCTACTGAGAAAAAAAAGAACGGGATGTAAGACCAATTGTTTACCACCACGCGAATGGAAACCTCAGCCGGAACATCCTCAGAGGTGCCCCAAGACCAAAACCTCCGTCCCTGACGTCCATCAACGGACCGGAAGTACAACTACTCGCTCAAGTCTAGTAGAAACTCACCCCTAGGTTCCTGCGGACGTCTCACACCACAGCCCCCTCCCCCTCTGACTAAAAATTATACCGTGTTGTTGGGGTAAATACAAGAAGGGGAACTTCGAAGATGACTCCAAAGGACTTACTTCGAGAACTTAGATATAAATAATGTAATAGAAAAAAATATAAGTAAGTAGCAACAGTGTTAGATATAGTACATCAAGAAACTAGAGACATTCACAACAGAGTTAACAATGAAAACCTAGTTCAACGCGAAACCGTCACGTACAACGAAACATAGACCGTCGTTTTCGTTCGGTAACACGGGTGTTACCAAAGCACTCCACGTTGGTGTGTATACCGTTTTTATAAATCGTCTTTTGTGTTAAATCTGTTCGCTTACAAACTTTGCTGCTTTGTTGTGCGTCTGTCATTGATTTATATTGAGATGTTTATTATATTAACAATAATCATTAATCATGCTCCCACATCTTCCCTATTTTTCGACGCTGCGGCTTATATAACGGTGCGGCTAATCTATGGATTTTTACAGCTAACGGCCAACACCTTTAACTCTATGGGCTCTATGGCCGGTCCGCGGACCCCCACCTTTAAGCGGCGGGTTCCAGCAGGAAAAGCTGGAGGCCGGAAAAGAGTGAGACAGGTAGCGCGCAAAAGTAAAAGTGGAACCGAGAGTGGTATGCCGCTGCTGCGGCTTATATTCAGGTGCGCCTTATAGTCCGAAAATTACGGGACAACCCTATACAATCCTTTTTATTATCAGTGTTAGGGAAGTACTCAGATATTTTACACGAGTCAAAAGTGTCAATAGTAGTGTTAAAATCTGTGTTACAAGTTAAAATACTTCATTGCATTTACAAATAAGTAAGTTACATCTGCGTTCATTATGTTTTCTTTGTGCTCTCCTTCATGCTTGTAGTTCATCAGATGTGTGTGTCCTTAACCTGTGTCTGTTACATGTATGTGGTGTGTGTGTGTGTGTGTGTGTGTGTCTAACCTGTGTGTGTCTCTCCGCAGGTCTCTGTTGCAGCAGCTGCAGTCTCTGCAGGCGGTGGTCACCGGAAAAGTCCCTAAATCCTGCAGGATGGCCGGCACCCAGACATCATCATGCCTGATGGTACTGTGTGTGTGTGTGTGTGTGTGTGTGTGTGTGTGTGTGTGTGTGGGTGTGGGTGTGGGTGTGTGGGTGTGCATGCATGCTATTAGGAGGTTGTGGTGGTGAAACATCGATTCAAAATATTGAATTGGGAACATCTGCTTCCATCATTCATTAGCAGCTTAGCGTTGCTTCATAGTTTATTTACTCCCCCCTTCTCTCTCTCCCCCCTCTCCCCCTGCAGGTAGTTGTTTTGTGTTTCTCTCTGTTTTTGGGGAGTTTTTACCCCAGCAGTATGTCTCCCTGCTCCACCATCACTGAAATTGGCCTTGCCTCCAAACAGCTGGATGTCAAAGAGTCTTACACAACCACAGGTATTTAAACTCACACATACACCCAACAAACTGTTCAACGGTGAATATTTGGCTAGTTAAAGACAGCAGTGCAACCCACAACATTTCAAAATAATCATCATTTATTAAGATAAATTATTGCAGGTTGAAGGAGCACATGGGAATGTCTGAACAGCCTCCTCTTGAGAACATACGAGACAAATTAAAGATAACATGTCATTTTAATTTGAAGAAGATCTCAATATTAACAAGTGATCACAATTAAAGGGGAACCAAACCCCTTTTCATAAAGTATTCCTATGGTGTAAGACAGTCAAAACATGTAATTAAACTAACAATTCTCCTCCAAATCCAAATACCTAGCGGGCTAAAATACTGCGTCTCTCTCGTCTAAACTGACCTCTCCTGGTGCTTCTATTGAAACGAGTCATTACATCCAAAACTATAAAACTGTAGAGGCCCATTATAACATCGGCAATAATCAGATTCCACCTACAGCGCTGCAATAATAGCCACTGATGAGAAGAGCTGACCTTTCCCTACATCCTCTCTGCTGCCTCCCACACACACACACACACACACACACACACACACACACACACACACACACACACACACACACACACACACACACACACACACACACACACACACACACACACACACACACACACACACTACTACACACACACACACACACACACACACACACACACACACACACACACACACTACTACTACTACTACTACTACTACTACTACTAACTACTACTACTACTACTACTACGTACTACTACTACTACTACTACTACGTACACTACTACACGTACTACTACTACTACTACTACTACTACTACTACTACGTACTACGTACTACGTACTACTACGTACGAC